TAGAAATAAAATTCTTTACAAATGAGGGTAATGTTCAAATAGGGTCCCTATTCCAGCTGGAAATAATATCAGTTTATACTGACAAGCCTCTCCACTGCACAACACAATTTACTGACTTCAGTGCCTTGAGAGAGAAATTTGGGGACCTGATACATCTTGGTGGTGGGGGTGGGGGCACCTCCCATTTTGGAACAAAACAATAGGGCTTATATTTGAATTCTAAGCTGAATTCATAAACACTACTGGCAACTATTATTTTATTCCTTATATGCTAATGTCTCTTAAGAAAGAACATTTTCATAATTTTTGGGGATCCCTCATATGTGGGGCCTGGTAAAACTGTAATCCTATTTTCTCTCTCTCATTGGCCCTGACTGAGCTATCCTCTGCTTAGAACTGTGTATGTAGATTTAGCAAGACATTACAATTCAAATTACACGCCAGCTTCTATTGCCATATCTGTCTCAAATACATTTGTACAAGATGTCTCCTCAGCTCCAAAGCAATCAGCACAATAGCCTATCTGTAAAACTTCAGTCTCTCTCTCACCCATTAAGTTATTCCCATAATTAAAGAATTGATGGAAAGAAACAGAATGGAATGTCATTTCAATTTTTTGGAAGTAATTCATTAGCACTTGAAGATATTTGCTGAATTAGAAAGTATTCCATCCTTATTTGTCATAATTAAAGATCTACCTGGAAATACTTGGGGATCTGTATATAAAAATGTAAAGAACATTCACTGGTGTTTTTTGTGCTACACAATATTGGGGGGGGGGGGGGGGAGAAAGAGGTAAAAACTCCAGGAAGAGAGAAGTATATAATATGAAAGAAAGGAGTGCTGAACTTTTTGTGACAATACAAGTGGAATTACTGAGCTAGGATGCATGAAAAATACTGGTACAAGTCCATTTGTTTGAATTTTTAATAGGATAACATGAGAGTAATCAACTGGGATGATCAAGACTAAGTTTGATTACTCTGCTTGGTTTAAATGAGGTGAAAGAACAGGGAACATTAGGACACAAGTCCCTGATCCTGCACCTTTTTTCTGTGCAGAAGGACCATTTCATGTGACTTCACAGGATTCTGTATAGCAGAGCATTGTATCGGCAATCCCTTCCAGTCGAGGATGACTGTCTTCCATGATTGCTTTATCTGTGGTCCAAAGATGGCTTACAAGGCCAATCTAGGATCAACAGACTCTGCAGCAACTTAGGCACATGTTTCTGTGTGGGGTGGGTGGCTCTGGATTCTTGATTCAGTCCATGATGAGTTATTTCTGCTGCTCCCATTTTTCTGTCTCCTGTTCTTGTGGTAAAGTTTCAAAGTACTGAGATCCTTGTAACAGACTCTTCCTCCATTTGGGGAAGTCCTGGGAGATGGTATCCCATGAGTTGATGTTGATGTTTTTTTTTTTCTTTTTTCAAGTTGACCTTGAGGACATCCTTGAAGCACTTCCTCTGCCCTCCTTTTATATACAACAATTGAACAATTGGCAGTACTGCAACTTAAAAATTTATTAAAAAATTTCAATAAGATAGATGGTGAAATACAAAAGTAAAGCACCATTCTGAAGAAGCTGAGTTTATCTTTTTTTCAGTAAACAAATAATTTTATTTAGGGGTAGGCGGAAGGAAAAATATACTAGAACATATAATAGCCCCACATCCTATACAACCTGATTAACATGGCACAACTACCATCCAGACAAAATGAGGATGGGCTCAATTGCCTGGATTCCCATTTATTCTTTGGTTAGTTTGGGTAGAATATATTTAGTGTAAATCTTGTCAGAAGAGAGAGGAGGAAAGGAGCTTAAGACGACTGACAGAATTTTTTCCCTTTTGCATTCTGAGAGCACACTGATTTACTTACATTTTAATTTTATTAAGCTGCAAAAAAGTTCTCAAACACAGCTGTTGAAATAAACATTGATTCAAAATGTAAAAAAACCTTAAATAAAGCTAATTTACTCATACTATACACAGAGTTCCACTTTAAATTATTCTTTTACATTTCACATTTTTTACCAAGTGCAGTTAAGAATTCAAAGCAGTTTCCGAGTCATCTTTTCCTGTAAGCAGATTTATTAATAGATGCAATATGCATAATTTGTCGTTCACCTAGAAGAATACGATTGTAAACACAAAGAATTTCTATAAAAATAGTCTAAAAATCATTATTGAAACTGTTTTTTCTTCTTAAAAATATCTGATTGTAGAGAGAAATGGTCATAAACTCTGGCAGTGTTTTTCATGAAAATTTTCAAGTAATTTATTCACTGTCATAATGTAGTTTCTGTAGAGAGATTTATTTTCCTGATTTCCCCCTTTGCATGCTTTTTCAAGTGTTTTCAATGCTTTCTTCTTGAGCTTTTTGTCTGTGTGCACATTTTAAAATTATTTTATGAAAACTGTTAGTTGCTATTACTGCCCCCTCTGTAATGGGTACCTCTATGTAAATGGGGAGGCAGGGAGAGACTGCTCCAAGTCATGTATCACCCAATCATCTCTTCCAAAGACTTGGGAGCAGGCAGGGCAATGATAGCCAAGACTGAGAAAGTGAAGGGCTGGTGTGCTTGAGCCACAAGGAGACAGAACCAAGAGCAGAATGGTAGGCAATAAAGTGCTGTGTTAACTAATACCCACTGGTGCAATATTGCGGGGAAGTACCTTGTTCTTAGTAACTTCTCCTGTCTCTCTGTCAGGAGCTGCACATTTTCCCTCCAGCACAGCAGACTATAACAGGTTGCCTTCTTCAGCACAAGCAGCAATAGGTTTTCTATTGTACTAACACATAAATCAACCAGATACACATGAAGCATGCAGAGTAAGTTAGAAAGAAATGTACAGTGTGCCATGGCTGATTCTGGGGAAAAAGGAACAAGGGAAACTATTATACCCTAAGATGAGATGCTGGCAGGGAAAGAAATTGCTTTTGGCATAGTATCAAGAGCAACTAAGCAGAATCATAGAAAATTAGGGTTGAAAGGGACCTCAGGAGGTCATCTAGTTCAACCCCTGCTCAAAGCAGGACCAGCCCCAACTAGATCATTCCAATGAGGGCTTTTTTGAACAAGGCCTTAAAAAACCACAAGGATGGAGGTTCTACCACCTCTGTAGGTGCTTCACCATCCTTCTAGTAATTTTCCTAATATCCAACCTAAACTTCCCTTGCTGCAACTTGGGACCGTTGCTCCTTGTTTTGTCTAAGATCCTTTTCTCGCTAAGAATTGTCTGCTTCCTATTTCCCTCATTGCACACCATGTTCCTTCAAGCTTCTGATGTCTTCTATGTCCACTCCAACTCAGAGGCAGCATCTACACAGGATGCTTACTGCACAGTAGCACATTAGTACTGCGCAGTAGCATCATGGGGCATGTACTGAGATGCAAAGCTTCTGCGCAGTAATAATGGGCTGCTGTAGAGTCAGCATCACCAGGAAGCCATGTGGAGATGCTACTGTGCAATAGCACCAGTTACTGCACAGTCACTTAGTACTTGATATACTAAATGACTGCACAGTAGCAACTGCACAGTTGGCATCTCATGTAGACATGGCCAGAATTGGGCAAATTAGGTGATGTTCTCAGTGCCTCCCCCATAGAGACAGATTACAAGATGTCAGAACATCCGTTCCTCCTCTGTGCCTGGAAATGGTCCACTCAGGACCCGTTCAGACATCTCCCACAAATATCAGCAACACCTCAGACATGGACAGGGTTCTGACTCTGAAAGGAGTTGGTGATTTTATATCTGGTCTACTTGTTGGGTCTGAGGGTTTACTATATCTAAAAGTATATTTTAAGTTGAGAGAAGTAAAATTGTTTTAGATTTAAAACCAGTTAAAATCAATCCAAGGGCCTAAACATACTCCTGTTCTACCTTAAAAAATCAATGTGTTATGTTTCTAAGGAGCCTTCATTTTAACCTTAATCTTAAGTCATAAGTAGCAGTGAGGAGAGAACTCACCTCTTTTTTTATTTAATATTTTTTTTAGGGATTTGAGCAGGGGAATAAGACTGCACTGAAGTATCTTAGATGTGAAATAGGATTTGGGCCAAAAGTTTATATTTAAATACTTTTATGTTTAACCCCTCAAAAATACACAAGTTAGATACCTTGCATTTTTAAGCTTGTCTAATTCTATTCCAACTATGCAGTTGGTTCAATAGAAGATATCACCCTAAAAAAGACTTGCTTCTTGCAAGTTAAACAGGGCATTATAGTCATGTCAAGCTAATTTCCATCTCTTTCTATTTGAACATGGCCAAATATGCCATGTGAAAACACTCACTGGTTTAGGTTGAATGGAGCTTGACATAGTAAAGCAACTATTTTAATTTCATAAGGCTGACTCAGGAAAGCTAAGCTAACAATATGAAACATTTTTATCCTGTATCTATTAATATATTTGGAGCAGCTTAATTTGTTGAGGGCCTGTGGTTAGTGAATCCTGACATTAGTGAATGATAGTGAAAAGATTTGTACGTGACCCTCTCCATTTGCGGGGGACACATTCTTGTATCCCCTGCGAATGGCGAAATCCATGAATAAGGCACTGCATTCACAAATGCAGCAGCTGGTGGGGGAGGCACAGCTCTGGCGGTGATGGTGGGAGTGTGGCAGAGGTGGTGGGAACCTGGCAGCAGCAAGCGTGGAGCTCCCGAGGAGCTCCTGTAAGTGTATAAAGTGTGTTTAAAATGAGAGTTCAGAATTCGCGAATATCTGAAGCCCCGAATGACAAACCCACAAATAGTGAGGGTTTCCTGTATTCTCTCATTTCTCCAACCCACTGCAAAGCACAGCTGGAGTCTGACTGGATCAGACCATTCTATTTTGGTGTAATACATTGTATACAGTTTACCACTGGATATTAATCTGATCCATCTGAGTTGCACAATTAAGACTGTTTTGGTCTTAAATGTTCATTAAAAAATTAACTATCGGTGTTAAATGGAGATATACATTAATTTAGTTCAGTCATAGTACTTACGGACACTGCTATCATTGTTATTCTTAAGGGAACTGGCAGCAACAGGAGGTAATGAAAATGGCTTTGTTTCAGTGACCTTGGAATCTAAATAGAAAATGAGTGTGTCAGTATTATACAACTGTAAACAATCTATAGCTTCCTTTATAAAAAAGGCTAAAGGTGGCTACTCTGCTCTGATTATGCAGTCACTTTGAAAGTAGAAAGCCAAGCTGGAGCAAAACACATGTATACTGCAATAAGTAGGCTTGTTTATATCATCTAATATGGAACAGCACCAAAGAGAAACCCTACCAACTCACTCCTACTCTGTATATGTGTAAGCATGACAATTAGTTATGGCAGATGGCTGTCAGAAGCCCAAGGTGTACATCCCAGTATCATTCTCTTTAGGCAGAGAGCCTGAGACTGGTGCTTGGGTGTATCCTTGAAGCCACTCAAGGTTGCTCTAAGCATGAATGCCTCATGCCTCCCGAGGCTGGGGGGGCATGGCAACTGCCCACAGACACTGCTGGCAGTGTTAGCGGCACACCCGCGTGCACCCCCTACATGTTGAGAGTGGCTATAAGGCCGTTTGCCTTATCTAATTGTTAGGCTTGGCTGCCTGCAGAGAGAAAGTGAATGGGCAATGTTCATTTCTTTGGCAGAGACCCTAGATAGGCAGATAGGCTTGACTGACAATCCCAGTGTGTCCATATATGGAACTATTCCAGAATTTCTCTTGTTATGGATGTTCCAGAATAACTTCATGTTTAGACAAACCCTTAAATCCTTAGTTTATGGCAATAATTTACTTCAAGTTTTATTAATGTAACTCTGCATCTGAATATGTTGCCCTAGGCCTTAGTTCAAGATGAAGAATGAGTTCTTCAGTGATGAAGAATCATCATGAGAGCCAAAAAAAATAAGCAGCTAAGCATCCATTAATTTGAAGAATGACAATGGAAATACATGTATGAAACCATAGAAATTTAAGACAAGCTTCTTAAATTTTCAGTACCATATATTCATGATTTTGCCCACTCCCTCTTCAGGGAGAGTAGTAAAAATTAAGAGATTATCTGAATAGGGTACAAATTACACTTTATTCTGGTCCAGTAGAATCGTTTGGACTTACTTTCTACCTTATATTCAATTCTGAGTTTTCTAGATAGCCATAAGTTATTTTCAAAAAGGACACTTAATTCTTCAAGTTAAGCACAAGCTAAATACAGCTGTTATAGCATTGTAAAGACAACCCAGGATATTTTGTTGAAGTGACCACAATCTTAAGAGAGTACACTTAAATAATTTTAAGTAGCAGCACTATTCATCATAGTTTTTTGGGTACCATAATTAATTCCTTAGTATTCATAGCAGATCTAAAAATCTTAGAGTTGGTAGTCACTGATATTATGATATCTGAAGACTACAAATGGGATCCTCAAATATTTTAGTAAAAGGAAATATGCCTATTTAGAGCAGCTGAAAATGTGGCCCAACTAAAATGGGAGCCATTTTACTATCTTACCATGAACTGGTGTTTCTGTTGTTGAAGGCAGAACACAGTCATCATAATCTGATGTTTCTGAAAACGTCTTATAGGCTTCAATGGTGTTGTTAAAATGCCTAAAGAATTCCTCAGGAATGAACTTGCCTTCTTTATACAGGTGATCGCTTTCTTGTTTAAAATTCTAGAGGAAAATATAGAGTTCTGTATTAAAGGTCCAAGTACTTATTTCAAGCATTGTGGTTTAGTATATAGACAATAGGTTTTTATAAAAAGAATATGAACAGGTGACAAAAATGCAGTTACAATTTTCAGTTGCGGAGTTCCATTTTAACTGCAGAAATCTCAAACTTAACACTGAAAACTTAAACTCAAAACTCAAGAGTTACTTTTAAAAGCTAACGTTTTCAATCCAGCCTTTGCACATGTCACAAAAATGTACATTTATTTCTCCCACCATAACAGATAATACAAAGTTTATGTTTTAATTCCCTGTTAGAAACTGTCTTAAGCATTTGGAATTTTGCAAGGTGTGTTTGATCCTTTTAATGTGAACATGATACTCAACTATAATCAGGAGCTATAATTATGACAATACTGGACAATGAAATACAATAATTTGGACTTTTAAAGGGCTTTTAAAATGGGAGTATCCAAAAGTTAAGACACGAAAAGACAAGTTAAGTGGGAGCATCTCATTTTGGTTCTCTCTAGATGAGGTTTCTGTCTAGCTCATCTTAGGTAGCTTATGTTGCAGTAACATTAGACTGCAACATGGGGCCAATATAGGTTGGGAGCAGTAATTCAGAATCCCAGGATGCATTGCTCCCAGTCCCTCCCACCCCCCAAGGTGGACAATCTATCCTCTGGAGTTCTACTGCTCTAGTGTGGCAGCTGGAGAAAGCTGGCACCTGAGGGAGTCCTATAGCAGGTAGAATTCTTCCCCCACTTCCCCTTCTCACTCAGAGGCACATCCCCTACCATGTTCTTTCCTCCCCCTCCACCTTCATTTTGAGCTCACCCCCCACCTCCTTTCCAGGGCACTTCCCCAGCTCCTGGCTCTCCACTCACATTACTGCATGTGCTGTCCCAGAGGCAAAAGAAGTTTATGTCCCACTCCAGGTGCTGTGCAGGGGCTGGGCTCAGCCCTAAGAGGAGCAGCAGTGGTGGGAAAGAAGGTTTCCCCTCCCTGCCCCTGCTACTTCCCAGGCTGTCAGGAAACATGCAGGGGCTGGGCTCAGCTTGGGAGAGCAGCAGCAGTGGATAGGTTCTCTCTCCCTGCCTGCTTCCCCTGGGTGTCCCCCCCTGTGCCTGGGAGAAGGCAAGGAGGGGGAGCCTGCTCACCATCTGCTGCTGCTGCTCTCTGGGCTGAGCTGAGCCCCACATGCAGCACTGGAACAAGACAAGAGCACCCTTCATCCCTGAGATGGAGCCAGCAGCACAAGTGAAGAACTTTGAGAGCAGTGGGTTGGTAGGTGAACAGGGAGGTGGAGTGAGTGAGGGCCTGATCCAGACATGCAAGGACCTGCAATAAACCTAACCTGAGCAGGAAGGGGCCACACAGGCTCCACCTAGTGCAGGTGGCATATACCTGATCCTGGAACCTGGATTGCTTATACAGAGTAACCTATACTGTTGCTAGACAGCTGGCCAGGTGGGTGGCTACAGTGCAGAATTGGCAGCTCCCAGCCATGCCCCAGCTCACCAGCAGCAGCTCAGAGCTCTGCATATTAATGGGCATAAATTCATAACATGCAGCTGCTCACAGCACATGCTAATTTTCATACTGCCTAACATTCCTTAGAGTTAGCATGTGCAAACTGTAGCATGCAACTACACCCTAAGATCTACCAGTCTGCCTCTCAGGGGTGCATCTGCAAATAAAAGCAGGGCCCTTAATTGAGGAAACCCAGTTACTGCAACATCTATTGAAAAAATGTGTTCAATAAAAAAATGGACTCTTTACTGATAATACTGAGCAGGTTAGTTTTTCTTTTCTTTTTTTTTTGTTGTTATTTATTTTATTTATTTTATTTTTACAACAGCCTTGTCTGTCATGACAGCAGTTGCTTATAGCAGCAGTTCAAATTCAGCCTGGGCTAGTTTTTATTCCAGATAAAGATAGGGAAGTTAGGAACACAAGTAAAACAAATCAACCTTGTAGGTATCTAACTATGACTTAGGTAGAATTTAAGCATCCAAATCACAAAAGTGATTTTGTTCAACACTAATCAAGCAGCTGCAAAGCCACGAGGTTACTTAAACTCATTAGGTATTTTAATTTTGGCCTGAAAAGATACCAGGATGTCTTGTCTTAGGCTAGTGAGCATACTCTTGTTTTAGGCTACTGATCTATATCAGCCACTTAAGCACATAACTCTGGTCTAACTTCTGAATTAATCCAGATCAGTGTAATATTTTAAGTTCCAAATTCCTATGGTGACCAGAGTATACCTAATGATTCTTTAATGGTGATAGTGTACACGTAATTTATATAAAATGTTGCTGGAAGGGGATGAAATGGTGTTCACTTTTTGCCTAGTAGTTAGAACATTTACCCAGAAAACTGGAGGCATGGGTTATAGGTCTTCCTTATTCTGAGAGGACTCAAACTCAACTCTCTCACTTTCTAGTCAAGTGCTCTAACCAAAAAGCCACTGGCTAGCATAAATGGAGACCCCTTCATCTCCTCCTACTGAAGATGGCCCACTAGAAAGGTGGGAGTGTAAGATTTCTAGGACCAGAGGTAAAGCAAGCAAGAGGAAGCCTAATGCTGTAGAAGAAGGCGGCCTCCTAGGAGCCCTGGGTTTTAGTCCAGCTGTCAGAATAACTTCTGTTTTTAGCCAAAGTCTGTAAAACGTATAAACTATTCAGTTTGTAGTAAGCTGGATTTGAGACCCAAAACTCCCCCTTTCCAGGAAGTGTCTTTGTTACCGGGCTACAGATTGAGGCTTCTTTTTACTTCCTCTTTTACAAATCGAAGCCTTAGGCCCCATGAGTGTAACATACTTGGCTTCCTTGTGGATATCCCCGCTTCAACAGAAAAAGTAGGGGAAAAATCCTAACTCAGGGTAGCTCACTATATTAGTGTTCAGGGTACCCTCTTGGAAAATATAAGATGTGCGTTTGAGTCCCCCAAACCATGAAACTCCTACTTCTTGAATGAGACCCATTTGCTTTGGTAAAAAAGGTGATCACTACAACCAGAAGCTATGCTCAAAAGTGGTTGTGAGGTGGCTGTGTTTTTATACTGAAGTCAAAGCTGCTGCTAGTTAGATGTCCTGGTTCAAGTAGATGCCTCCACTCTTGTGCATGGGATCCAAAAAAGATGGATGCATCTAAGGTGCTGTCTTGAGACACATACCTATACTTTGAGGAGAAAGAGGAGTTCAAACACACCTCTGTGCATAGTGGTTCCTATTTGTAGCTAGCTGTAGATGCCTCCCTAGGTGCTCAATACTTGGAAACACCCATGGGAGGGCCCCAGCTCTCCTATGAACAGCGCAGGGATCCTAAGCATGCAACCCTGATCTAGTTCACCCTCCTGGAGGCAGGGTATTTAGGCACTATGGGCACACTCAGACATGTGTAAATGTTTGTTTCCCCAGGGACAAGTAGCAGCAGTGCACCTTGCATCACAGCTACTTGTCCTGGGGGAATGTTCACGCCACACGTGCTTTGGTGTGCAGCAAGTTAGCCTGGATGGAGTAGGAGAGGCTGATGCCAGCACTGTGCTGGCCCCAGCCACCTTACATGGCTGCTGGGCCTCCCAAGGCTGCAGCTATGGCAATCCTTCAGGACTGAGCCTGGCTGGCAGCTGGAGTGTGGCTCCAGGTGGCCTGGCACTGCTTTTTAGCAGTGCATACTGCCCAAGCATGTGCTGCTCTGGGTTTTTTTCCACAATTTTTTTTTTTTTTTTTTTTTACCCCTGGATATCCAGGGGTCAAAAAACCTACAGAAAAAGAAAAAAAAAAAAAATGAAGCAGCAGACACTTGGGCAGTATGCCCTTGCAGCACAAAGAACACCAGCCTGTGTGGTATGTGTGACTGCAAATGTGTTTGCAGTGCTATATACCCCATGACCACGCTTGTCTGGATGGACCCTATGATTCCAAGAATGTGTTTCTAATGGTTGGGTCCTTGGTTTATTTTCTTTTTTCCTCGCTGCACATAGAGATGTAGGCTTATTCTTTTGCCAGGAAAAAAAAAGTAGTAGTTCCTTCAAATTAGACATACTACTTCCTTTTTGTTAACCCATTGTTCTTAACAGAATTTCTTTAAATCACAATGTTTTAAATCCCAAAAAACAAAAAAAAGACTTGTATTAGCAACCTACAAATATGAACATTTTAGATAGATGAATTGGAGACTGATAAGAGTGGCAAAATTTAAGATTGAAATAAAAAACAAACAAACAAAAGTTTGACCACAGAATGATTATCAGAGCAAAATAATTAGCTTATTATTATCAAACTAATGGGATAATGCAATCTACTGCAAATCAGTAGATTTGAGTTTGCCATAGTCTCATGTTGTGACATTGGGCAAATAACTTAACTTTTCTGTCCACAGTTTCACTCTGTGAAATGGGAAGGGTTACAAGTGGGGACCTTTGTAAATGATTTAAGACCTACTCATCAAAGACAGGTATTACAAAGAGTGAAGTCCTGGCCCTATTGAAGTCAATAGAAGCTTTGTCACTGTTGCAGATTAAACCTAATATTAAAACAAATCATTTTCTCAAAGTACCCAGGACTGTGTAATGAACATGATTAGTTACACTAACATTGGATTTTCAAATTATTAACAAGTTAATTGTTTTTATTTGTTTCATATGGAACAGAGCTAGAATCACACCCTTGATGTGAAAATCCTGGAGTCCTTCCAGCAGCTATTGGTATCAGGAGGGCAGTCACTTGAAGCTGAGATGATGTTCACTAAACTATATAGTCTGTCCTTGTGTGAAGGTCCATAAACCCATCATGACGGTTTCTGATGTTCATTGATTGTGATATACAAGTAAGATCAATATAGTCTTTTTTACCATACCATCTTTTAAACTTATATTGAGATACTCAGCAAAATTATTCATTCAGTTAGATGTATAGTGAGAATCAATGCTTATATAATACTTGGTGTAGAATTAGTACTAAGCAAAGACCAGAATAAATAATTTTGAGATTGAGAGTTGCACTTCTGGACTATTTTACTGAGAAACTATTGAGTATATCTGACTGTTTGGCTATCCTGTATGGTCATCCCTTTGAAGTCATGTAAGTGGTTTTTCGGTTTGGTTTTTCGGGTTTTTTTCTATTGCTTTAACTCTAGGTTGACCATAGAGGTTCATTTAGTACAACATGATGCTGTTAGCTAAACAGGAATCAGAAATTAACTAGCACAAAAATTTGAACAAAGTATATAGGATCTAATAGTCATCTTTTCTTAAAACACAACTGTGAACTTTGGTACAAACAATCCAAACACAATATGCAGCATAAAAGGGGAAATTCTGTATTAGAAGTTTACCTTATTTTTATCTAATGCTAGACATTCCATAAGATCATTAATTATCCTTGTGAGATTATTGATGATTGAACGGTTGCTTAAAACATCAGATATTTGTGAAAATTTGTGGAGCAGATTACTCAGACTCTTTGAAAATTCAGGCACCATCAAATACAACCAACAGTGATTAGGCTGTCAAGGAGGATAAAAAGAGAGGTAGATTAAACACCACATTTGCACAAAAAAACAGCTTAAGTAACAGGGTGCAAAAAGTAGATAAAATTGTTTCTTCCAATCTGTATTATCTTGCATTTGTCTAAACTGAAATATAGTTGCTGTTGTACTGCCTGTTCTCTCTTCAGTCCTTCTGTAGATATTTATGCTCCTCTCTAATATTGGCTGACTTAGTTATATTATCAGCAATGTCTGCCAGTTCAACCTTATCCCTTCTTGTGAGTTAGTAATAAAATTAGGCACCAGTTTGACTATTTGAACTCTGGTATACTTCATTGTTAATCTCTTTCCATACTAGAATTGGCCGTTTACATAGTGTTTTAATGACAACTTCCTAACAGTTGTTTTCCAGAGTTTCTTAAAAATCTTCGTAATCTTCACTTTACTACTATCAGTGTTTTATACTAATTTGGCATTCTTAATCCAGAAGGCTCTTTCTTTAAAGGTAAAAATTATGTTCTAGAAAGTAAATTTGTAAAACTGATATTTTAGGATTTCATTAGTGTTGTATCCATTCTTGAACAAATTTGATCCATTTACCAGAAAGGAATTTCTTCCTTTCCCATATTCTCACTAAATGCCAGCCCTGCAAACTCACTCTAGGTGTGAAAACTGATCTGAAACTTGTTCTTCTTATGTATCCTCACTAATAAAAACTTTTGGTGGACAGATTATGAACACTGTTACATCAGTACAATGATAACTTTTTCAATTTATGCCCTCAATGACACCCATGCAGCCACAACGAAGTCACTGAGTTTGTATAGATATAGCTGATTGCTGACTGTAACCTAGCAGATCATTCTATTCACATATACAAAGTAATAACATCTAGCACACTTCTACTTAGAAATTTTGGATCTGATTAACAAAGTAAAAAGCAGTGAAAATCTAAATCCCTATAAGTCAGTATATCTGAATATACATACATAGCATACCTATCCAGGGGGAAGGGGGAGACTTTACACACCAATTTAACTTGTATATAGAAGTTTCTTCATAATATTAATAGATTTTTAAAGTATATAACAGTTTATTATAAACAGAATGGTAGAAAAGATTAAAAAGAAAGTGAAGAGCAAGATAGGTACCTATATACAGGTATATAGTAACTAAAATATTGGAATTGGTTCAGTATCCCAAATCTTGATAAATGCTATGGGATCTATAATGTTTACAACTGTCCAAACTTTGGTTTGGCATCCCTTGTGAAAGATGTGCTTTTAGTAGCAGTGTCAGTCTTGCCTGGAACTGGCGGGGGGGGGGGGGGGGGGGGGGGG